CCCCAAAACCCCAAAACCCCAAAACCCCTAACGGTATGCCTGCTAGAAAATTTTGACTAACTTATAATAAATGGGTGATTTAAATATAACTTAAATATGATTAAATTAATTCAAGCAAGAAAGTTGTTTTCTAGTGGAGCAATTAAATAGATTTTGCCTCTTCAAGGAAATCTAGATTCATTCAAATCTATCCATGTTGATGAAAAGTCTATAGACTTGGAGAATTTTCCTAAGCAGCTCTAAGAATCACTCTAGCTTTGGAAGAAAAACTAATTCAATGCGGTTTGGTTTAAAATTGGAATTCAGAACTTAAATCTTTTGAAATAATGCATTGATACTCATAACTTTGAAATGCATCATTGCACTAAAGATCATATAATTCTTAGTAAATGGCTTGTTGAAAATGAAAAGTCAAGATTACCATGCTATTCAACTCATAACTTGGGTGCAGCAGGAGTGGTTTTTAGTCAAGATAAGCAAAAAATTTTGATGATAAAAGAAAATCACACATTGTTTAAAAATATGTGGAAATTTCCAGGAGGATTAGTAGATTAGGGAGAAACCATCGAAGAAGCTTCAGTAAGGGAAGTTTTTGAAGAAACTGGAATTAAGAGTGAGTTTTAGGGAATATTAGGAATCAGAGAGTAGCTAAATTTTAGATTCGGGTAGGGAGACCTTTATTTCCCATGTATGATGCTTGCTTAAAATGAGAAAATTTAGCGCTAAGAAATCGAATTGTTAGATGCGCAATGGATTGAGATTGTAAGAATATTTGTTCAATAATAATAACAGGGTGATTTGAGAGATAAATAGATTTATGCTATGGCTAATGAAGTCACCAAGCATATCTTGAAAATTTATGATTAAGATAGGGAAAATGTATATGAAAGGCTATTGCAATTTACATTAACATCAAGAGATGAAATTCTGTTTAGTAATTTATATTTTTTCATTCAAAATACTCTTTAGATAAGACTCAGAGATATCATCTTAATAGATCGTTGAAGAAATTGTGAATTCACTTAATTACTTATTTCAACAAATCCAGAACTTGAGGGGTTTTGGGGTTTTGGGGTTTTGGGG